TTGAGCCCTTGGGATCAGTTTCTGGTGTTTTCCCTCCTTTCCGCCCACCCTCAGGACCCTTGATAAATTATGTTATTATTATTTTCACACCTTATACCAACTGCTGTCTGCCTTCCCCTATGGTTTCTGTTGTTCTTCCCCCTACCCTATGGTGACCAGACGTCCCTCTTTTGGCCGGACAGTCCCGATTTGTAACAATTTTTCTCGTGTCTCATGGCGCTTTTAAAAAGTCCCAATTTTTGGAAAGAATGCACGACAAGCTAGGCTATACGGTTTTCAGCTGCCATGTGGCTATTTCACCAGGATAGGAGTTTTATCAATGGTGTCCTGCTTCACCAATGTTAAAATCTGGCCACCTTACCCTACACTTGTGGTGTCGCTCCTCCCTTTCCTGTTCCTGGATTCTGCGTGCCTGAGCTCTTCTCTCTTCTCTGTAGCTGTGCACATGCTCCGGTGTAGCCCGCAGTGAAAGGCAGTACTAGGGTCATGATAGTGGGGCCTGAGGAAGCCTCAAGGAACCAGAGGAATGGTGTGTGTTTCATCGGTGCTTTACTGCACCCTGGTTGACTCATCCCTTCCCTGCGACCCCTCTGTGGGGATGTCCCATTGTCTACAGATGGGCTTTGGGTCTCTGCTCCAACGCACACACGCACCCTGTTCTCAACAGTATGGTTGTTTGTTTGGGGACTTCTGATGCCTATTACCCGGTCCTGATGACACCTCATGATCACACCGGCTGGTGTGCTTCTTCCATGTGGGCTTGTTGCTTCTCTGACGGATGGCCACTTGTTTAACTTCAAGCCTTTAAAACTTGGGGACTATTTTAATGGGGACACTGACTCACATAGCCTACCAGCTGAATCTGAGTCCCTGGGAGGTGCAAGCAGTTAGTGTGCCAGGTTGTTAACCAAAAAGTCGGTGGTTTCCGTCCACCCTGAGGTGCATCCGATGAAAGGCCTCGTGACCTGCTTCTGAGAACCCAGCATTGAGAACCCTGTGGGGCCTTCCTCTCACACGTAGGGCTGCAGGAATGGACGTCAGTTCGACAGCATCTGTGGTTTGAGTTTTGTTTTATTCTTACCTAACAGATTATGTGTTGCCATCTGGACAGAAATTATATATGTGGTGAAGAGACAAGTAACCTACGGTGTAATCTACTAGTAAATGAAAGGGTCAGCTATTCTTGGGTTGTAAGAAGGATGTGGTCCTTCAGGAGAGATAGGATCGAAAGAGGTTCCCAACCAAAACCAAACCAACACGTGCCCTGCCATCGAGTGACAGCTGCCCCGTGGGTTCTCCCATTGCATGGCTGGTGGGTTTGAACCACGCCCCCCCCACCACCACCACCACCATGTGGTTAAGGGCCCGATGTGTTGCCCACGACATCAGAGCTCCCTAGAAGATGGTCCAGGGTTGGAGGAACGGTGTCGGCCGATTGAAGTGATTTGGGATGTTTTAAGTCCATCAGCAAATTCTGAACAAACAAGCTCAGTGAGCGCAGGTTGGAAAGTAAACTGGGCTTCTCCCTCTGAGAACATCAGCTGCCAGGCTGGCCAGGTCACTGCCCCAAGCTCACGTTTCTCCCCTGAGGCAGTGACACCATTGAGAATAATGGGGCTGGGCTGCCC